CATGCCCGGCTGATTTTTTGATTTATTGTAGAGATGAGGTCTCACTGCCCAGGCGGGTCTCGAACCCGCAGGCTCAGGCAATCCACTCACCTCAGCCTCCCAAAGGCGCGGGATGACAGGCTGAGCCACCGAGCCCAGCTCTTCCTAGTTTTAACATACTCCACAGGGGCAGGAACCAACCTTTGCTGTGGGAATCCCCAGAGACAACTGAGACATGGCTGAGGAGAGAGATGCCGATGGGCCACTCTTCTTTCCAATTCTGGCATCAGTGGAGCAAGCTCCTCCCCAAATGGGCAAAGCCTCAATCACCTCCTTATCAGTGACACAACTGGTGCCCCTAAAACTCTTAAATTGAGAGCGATAGGAGTTATGACACACCTTTCCCCTAAATTCGAGTCTCCTTTGAGAACCGAAACCCCGAAGGCATTAGCTTAGCCCTGGGCCTACATGGGAGCAGCCAATCTGAGAAAAATTTTGCTCACCAGTGAGCAAAGGTGTCTGAAGTTAAATATGCTGGGGCTCAAAACTTGGGGCCCTACTTTGTTCTAGAGAAACACTCAAGAAGGGAAACGTGATGAAGATAGAGGGGTAAAGCCAAGGGCAGTCTTGAGCACCAGTCTGTACCAGTTTGGTGTGTGTGTGTACAGGCATACCCATTTACATATTGCTTTGGACACACAATTCTTATTTGCTTCAGGTTTTGTCGTGGTTTCACATATTTATGCCCTCTCCACTTCCCTGTGGTCTCTTTCTTGTCTTACTGAAATCATTTGCGAGCAAAGTCAGAAGTCTCCTTTGTCACCTTGATGACACCTGCAGCACTCTCTTGCCTCCCTTGACCTCATTCACAATTCTTGGATAGTGGCGGGTGTATCACCGGTGTCCTGGGGTGATGTGTGACCCTAGGCCACGCCCTCCAGCCCAGCCCAGCCCTGCCCTTTGCCGGCCTTGCTTGGGGCTGGGGGAGACAGCTTGTTATGTCTCCCTACTTTTCCTTCCTTGTCTCCAAAGGCCATCGGAGAATTCATTTTGGTGGACAGGGATGTGAAGATCAAAAAGAAAGGTAACATCTACAGCCTTAACGAGGGCTATGCCAAGGACTTTGACCCTGCCGTCACTGAGTATGTCCAGAGGAAAAAGTTCCCCCCAGTAAGTGAGGGGCCGAGGGGCCGGGGGCGGGGCTGGTGCAATGTCTAGGCATCTGTGACCACAGGCAGCTCTGGGGGGAGGGGTGTCCCCTAAAAGGAAAAGGGATTTAGGGCCTGGGACCTCATTTGGCACTCTTGAGTTGTGTAGAAATCTGTTGATGGAGGTGAAGGGAGACAGAGATGGAAGTGGACTGGGTTTGGATCCGCACCGAGCCCGTGATTAGGTCCTCACCCAGGCACTGGGAAATTCTTGCCCTCAGACTTTGAAATCAGTGTCCGTTTCCACCTCTACCACTGTCTCTTGGCAGAAGAAAGTCAAGAGCACTAGGTCAACCAGATGAATGAGTTCATGGTCCCAGATGTTACAAAATGTCGTTCTGCTACTCGGGCACCTGCCATGTGGTATCTGTCCTTCCTGTCCTGATATCTCAAGATTGAGAGTGTCCATCTTGGTGTCTCTTATGAATTAGTGAACGCAAAGAGAAGAAACGACTGCAGAGCTGGCTCTTTGGGGGGCTGTCTGACTTTGTTCAGGAGCCACTGACAGCTGCTGTTTTCCAAAGAGGAAGCACAAGGGTTGTTTGCACAGCATCCGAAGCCCTTAGGGCCAGCCCCAGGCTTTCTCTCCAGCAAATCATCTCTCCTTTCACCTTCCTCTGGATTCCCCAACCCCTGCCAGACACACACTTAGTCCCACAAGCTCCACTACCCCGATTCATTTCCTCTCTACATTGCTAAGTCTTTGCTTGGGGAGTGTCCTCTCCTGTAAAATACACGCCACCCCAGCCTCTGCCTAATTCCTTAGCTTGGCAAAAAAGCTTTAAGGTGTTCCTAAATGGTACGATTTATGCGATGCCTGCTCCAGCCTCACAGCCTCTTTGGGGCTTCCGTGCGTAAGCTGACCTATAGTGAGATGCATCAGAGGTTGTCTGGATGATTCCACTTCCTTCCTGCTTGTTGGGAAAAGGATTCTCATCACATTTCTTAGCACAGCCCCAAACACATCATACCTTGGAGGTGCTCAGTGAAGAGATGCAGAATCAAGTAAGCATAGGGGACACAAAGAAAATGCCCTTTCTGTGTTTTCTGCAACCCTAATCATTGCTGGTCTTAACCATGCAGGATAATTCAACCCCCTATGGCGCCCGCTATGTGGGCTCCATGGTGGCTGATGTTCACCGCACTCTGGTTTATGGAGGGATCTTTCTCTACCCCGCCAACAAGAAGAGCCCCAAAGGAAAGGTAAGCATGTCCCCAGAGAGTGGTTGAGGAGCAGGAGATTTCAGTTTCAGCCCTAGCGACTTGATTTAGGAAGAAAGAAAGGTTATGGTGGCTGTTATGCTCTCGAGGTCGCTGAGGATGTCTGGGGAACATTCTTTTCTAGATTCAAGGTAAAGCCAGGTGATATCAACTAAACGTAAAAATGGTCTCTTGAGAGCCCTTCCAATGCTGTGGTAAAAGAAAATCAGGAGGGGGGTGCAGGTTCTTAGAGCTTCCAATGGGCATGTGGTCTGGCTTGGGCAAAATAAATTCCATTCACAAAGTGAAATAACACAGCCCAGTCTCATTTCCAAGGCAGCAAATCAAAGCATTTCAGATAGAAGTCTTCTTTGATTGCTTTCAAAAGGCATAAAATAGGAATCACTAATGAGCCTGCATGTGCTACTTGGAAAGTGACACCTTTTAGGGAAATAAAGAATCTCTGGGGAAACCTGGAGCTTTCCGGTGAGCTGTTACCACTGACTGCACCGGTCCAAGCCCATGGCGTCTCCAGCAGGCTGCAGGGTGGGCTCTGCTTCCCCATGCTGGCTAAGGGACACCCTGCATTTCTCTACACAGGATGACAGTGTGCTTCTGTCCCAAGTCTGTTTCCTCTTTATTTTTTCTTTTAAAAGACAGATTGCCTTTTTTAAAAAAGTGTGAGAGAAGAACAGGAACAACAACAACTACTTAAGATAGTTAGAAATCTATATATTTTGGACATATTCAGGTCTTTATTCGAGGCACATGAAGCCCAGCTCACTGAAAGCCTGCTTACCTACTTAAAACACTCTTGCAGTGGTCACCTCAGGCATCCCAGCTTATGCAATTAGCTTGCATGACAGCATTGTCCTCTAATGCCTCAGAAAATTGTTCTTGAACACAAATACTGAGGCTCCTCCTTTCTCTCCGTTTTAAAAAACCTGGCCGTGATACCTACATGGAAACAGAGTCAGGAAACACCTGCAAAAGGCCGTCACTCCGTAGGCAGACTGCATGAAAATGCATACGATAAAAAGTTAATATTTGAAAGTAAATGCCAAGATGTTTAATATACTAAATTCCAACCCCCGAGCCTTAGGAGAATTGTAAAAGGAATGCATACAGAGTTGCAAACAATATTACACTGTTTGGAGGAGCCGGTCTGCTTTCCAGATGTCTGCAGCCAGACACTACCATGGCTTTTTTTCAGTGCTTTTAGAATAGGCAGCCCTCCATCCAAAACATACAGAATCACTCATTAAGCCGAGTTTCCACGCTTTAAAGAGGAGGGACTCATCGGTCCTGCCCAAATGCTATTCCGTCCCGAAGCCAGGTGGTCTGTCTCACATTTGCATCATCTATTGCTGGCTCTGGCTTGATGAATGGCTGAATTTAACCAAATAGTTGACTTTTTGTCTCGGATGCCACCGGGGGTGGTGGGAGGGCCCTTTTGCCACCTCACAGGAAGCAACAAGGGAGTACCAGTGACCTGTGGAACAAGCCCCCTCTCTGTGCAATCCCTTCTGGTACGAGGCGGCTCTTGGGCCTTGTTTTCCAGCTGAGACTACTCTATGAATGCAACCCCATGGCCTTTGTCATGGAGAAGGCCGGGGGAGTGGCCACCACTGGGAAAGAAGCCTTACTGGACATCGTGCCCACGGAGATCCACCAGAGGGCGCCGGTCATCTTGGGGTCTCCTGACGACGTCATGGAGTTCCTGGAGATTTATCAGAAGCACTCTGCCAAGTGAAGAGCCGGCCTTGCCCACGCCCCAAAGGAGTGCCTTTGGTCTGGACCTTTTATCTTACGCGTGGTTCCCTGCAGCCTCCATTCCTAGACAGCAGAAATAGAGAGCATGGGTGTCTTCGCCATCAAATGCTGCATAATGCCTAGCGCTGACTCTCCAAGATGCTCTCTCGAAAGTGTCACTGGTGACCGAGATATAGTTTGAGAGGATGGAGGAGAAATAAACAGATTCTTTCTTTTAAAGAGAAGACTTGTTGCTTTGTGTCAAATAATGACGCCGATGATGCTGATATTGCCCCTGACGCGTGTAACATTAGATAGCTCACGTAATCTTCACAACAACCACGAGAATCAGTTACAATGCTGCCCCCGCCCTGTTATTGCGGTCAAACCAGGCAAAATAACTCGAAGATCCCTCTCCTCTGCCTTTGTTTGTGCGTTCTGTGTGGTCTTTTTGATGAGCTGCCAGTTCCTTCAGCGGGGCATTTTCAGTGGCCGCTTGTTCACATTCTGCCGTGATGCGTCCACAGGCCCGGAGAAACAGCGGCACCAAAAGTGATTCTTTTGAATCTCAGAGTCGGACTTGATCCTGAGAGGCTTGGATACCACCTTTGGACAGTTGAGGGTGAGGGAGATCGCCTCTCCTGAGTGTCACGAAGAGATGCGGCGAGAACCTGGCAGGAATCTGGGCTCTAGGTTGTCACGTCGCTCTTAAGATGGGAGACCTTTCGACTTCCAATCAAAAGAGAATGCAAATGTTTGGCCATGAGGGATTTTTTATTGAGTTCCTCAGTATCAGCATGGGTGGGATATGTAAAGAGACTCCATGCCTCCTCAAAGGGTAAACTGAGGCAAGGTGGGCTGGTGCTGTGGGAATAATGCAAGATTGCAACAGAGAGAAAAGAAGCAGAAAGCAAAGTTTATTACTCACTTTTCACATTTGGAAAGGGGGCTGGCACTCAGGTGAGTGAGGCATGGAAGGCTGGAAACTCAGTGTGTTTAAGGGCCTTTAAAGGGAGAGGGATTTAGACCTGGAGGTGGTCTGGGCCAAAAGGAATGTCCAGAGTTGTATCCTTTGGTTTCCATAGTAGACACGTGAATCTAGTATCTTGACATTGCCAGGCATCAATGTCTCATGATCTCAGGTGGTGAGCTGGAGATTGGTTATGGTCGTATGATAACATTATGCCAATAAACACACCTCCTGGTGGTGTGCTGGAGGTCATCACAGGTGACCAATAACAATGGATCAATACGAATGCTTAAAAGGTAGATTGTTAGCAAGACTGGACATTGCTTAAGGGGTTCTGTGGAATCACTGTTTTCTAAAATTAAAGCATTTTTCTTGTTAATGATTATAGGGTAAAAGGACGTGGGGACCATGCAAGCTGTGTACCAAGGGAATGTCAAGGGTGAGACCCAAGCAAAATGGTTGTGCTGATTCTAAATGGCTACGTGATATCCTAAATTTCTAGGGTTCCCTCCTTTCACCTCCCCTTTCCTACCCACAGATCTGATATTTGCTTGCAGGGGCTCCATAGGTGTGCCCTTTGCCTTCTAAGTTAAAACCACCGTACTTGGCCTTAAAACCAAATTCTACGTCTTTTAAGCAGATCAGCAGAGGGGCTTCTCCACAATGGCCAACTTGCTTCTTGGTGTCCTCTGCCGAAAGCTAAGAAAGCATCCTTCCAGTCTGACTGGAAGCGCATTTCCGCCCTGGCCTCGCCACCACCGGCAGGCTACAGACAGCCTGTACCACTGGGCATTTGAAGGGACGCCTCCATTTGACGGAAGCAGGAGCTTCATTTGAGCATCACGGGCCCTTAAAGCCCCAGAGTAGCTGTGATCCGCTCCCCTCATCCAGAAGGGGGAATACTTTCAAGATGCGTGTAGTGCGGTAAATGGTGCCCCCCCCCCCCAGTCATGTTCCTATCCAAATCCCTGGCACCTGTGGTTGTGACCTGATTTGGAACAAAGGTCTTTGCTGGTGGATTTAAATTATGGATTAAGATGGGATCAGCCTGGGACCTAGGTTAGGGTGGGTTCTAAATCCAACGACATGTCCTCTAAGGAGACACACAGAGCAGAAGGCCACGTTAAGGTGAGGGCAGAGATGGAAGTGATGCCGCCACAGGAAACCAAGGAATGCCGCAGGGAGCCAGAGGAGGCCAGAAGGACTCTTTCCTAAAGCTTCCAGGGGGCGTGCAGCCTTCCTGGAAACTTGATTTTGGACTTCTGGCCTCCAAAACTGTGAGGGAATACATTTCTGCTGTTTGAGTACCCAGTGAGTGGTCCTTTATGGTGGCAGGTCTAGGAAACGTTTGCTAATCGGGTATGTACCTTAAGGATCTAACTCACGTCTCGCATGCAGCAGAGGCCAAAGAGCAACCCTCCTTCACAAGGCTGTCCTCATCAGATAGGGGATGCCAGTAGCTGATGACTGCATGAGCCGGGGGACTTGAAGGGTTAAACTCAAGATGACCCCGCCCTCTCATGGAGATGCTACCCTTGGTTTCTGTCAGTACTGGAGTACTGCTATGAGGTGCAGCTGCTCCGGGAGCATCCACAGCTGGGTGTGGTGGGCGGAGAAGGTGGTGGGTGGACAGTGGCCCTGGTGCTGGGAGCTCTCGTGAGCTGCAGAGAAGGCAGCCGGCACCAAGGCTGACTGGAGGCCTTACACTGGAATCATGGTGGCTTGAGCTCAGGGCTCGCCTCTGCCACTTCCAAGCTGTGTGAGTCTGGTGGAGACCAGCCAATCCTCACCACACCTATTTCTCTTCTGGACTCACAAGAGGGCTATGTCTCCCAGTCTATCTTGCACTTAGGTGAGGGGCCACAGTTTTTGGTCAGTGGGTGGGTGGTAGAAATAATGTCTATGATTTCTAGATTTACCCCCACCCCATGCAGAATCCTTTATCCTCTCTCTTCCCTTCTGTGCCACCTCTGAAGCTGTGGATTTTAATGATGGGCTCACAACATGGTGGGAGCCTGGGGGCCTGAGACACTTCACAGTCTATATCATCTTGGGATGGGAAGGAGAAATAAACCTATCCTGTACAAAGCCACTGGGATTTGGTGCTTGTTTGCTACTGCTGCATAACCTTGACTATCTGTACTAAGCTAGACTGAGCTAGGAAACTTTTTTTTTTGAGTTGGAGTCTCACTCCTTCCCCCAGGCTGGAATGCAGTGGCATGCACGCTCATGGCCACCCCAGCGTCAACCTTCTGGGCTCCAGCGATCCTTCCACCTCAGCCTTCTGAGTAGCCTGGAACTACAGACGTGTGCTACCACACCTGGCTATTTTTTATTTTACTGTAGAGACGAGGTCTCACCAAGTTGCCCAGGCTGGTCTCAAACTGGCAGGCTCAGGCAATCCACTCGCCTCGGCCTCCCAAATTGCTGGGATTACAGGCTGAGCCTCTGAGTCCGGCCTAGCTTGGAAACGCCTAAAAAAATTTACCTGAGCCTCAGTTTCTCCACCTGCAAAATATTAATTCTAATGACTATGGTTGTGGACAAGGCCATTTTCACTCTAAGTAAGAGAAACCCTCTTATTCTGGCTCTATCAGGAAGCGAATGTGTTGGAAGGATTAAGGGGGAGTTCATGAAATCCAGTACCTATTGTTTACCTAGCCCCAAGGACACATCCAAATCCCAGCATAATCATCCAATCCACTGTATCTCTGTCTCACAACAAATTCCCAGGAGAAAATATATGATTGGCTTAGCTTGTATCAAGTGTCTCCCCCTGGTCCAATCAACTGTAGTCAGAGACCTGGATCAGATAAAGACAAAAGGTGGCTTAGGGTTTTTAAATCTCTTATGGATAGGGTACACTCTTCTTCAAGATGGAGATCATAGACTGAGAAGATACCCCAAAGATAACTGCCATGCTATAAGCAGGAATGTTGAGATTTCAGGGGAAAACATACTTTGAGATTATGTGAGAGAGCGTATGGAAAGTATCTTAGCAGAAGTTTGCAAGAATGGTCCTTCAGTTAACAGTCTAGAGTCATGGTCTCCATCCAACCCTCCAGTGAAGGGGCCTACCCTACGAACTGCCCTAAGACTGCCTTAAACATTCAGAGGGTCCGTTTGTCCTGATCACTTAGACTCAGGCCTGTGAGGATCTCTCACTAAGCACAGTAAGACCCCGGATAGCTTGTGGCCACCAGTGTATCAGTATGAAACGGATGTTTCCCTTCCTCTAGGCTTTTTCCACAGCTGCTCTAGAAGTTTCCATGCTGTTGTGCGCCCTGAAAGAACTTTGCCATTTGTTGAAAGGTCACCAGCTGCACTTTCAGACCACGTGGGAAACTAACTTCTAAGACGTAAATGTAGCTGCAAAGGGATAGGACAGCTGCACCTGTGTTGGCCTGGGCTGGTTGGTGTCATAAATAGCAGGCTCTCCCTCGGATCCCTCTATGGGGCAGAACTGACTGCTTATAAACAGCACTAGCCAATGCATCTCCCCTCAGCCCCATCCCCAAATGATCCCGCCTTCTGCTCATCCTTGACGTCCATCGTGCTCGGCCATCGCAGCCTCTCTTGCAATTCATGCTGAAGCGCCGATTTGCTTGTCTGTTTCACTTCCAGTCTGTTGTGAACAGACCTGTTTATAAAACAGAATAAAGAGAACTTCTGGAATGGCCAATACACACATGAAAATAGGCTCGACATCACTAACCATTAGGGAACTGCAACTCTAAGCCACAATGAGATACCATTCCATACCCACTAGGATGGCTGTTACAAACAAAACAAACCAGAAAACAAGCGCTAGTGACAATGTGGAGACGCTGGAACCTTTGCTCATTAGTGGCGCGGCTGCTGTGGAAAACGGTATAGCAGTTCTTCGAGAAATTAAACATAGAATTATCATACAATTCAGCAATTCCACTCCTGGATAGACACCCCAAAGAATCCAGAGCAGGGACCTGAACAGATGTTTGTTCGCCATGTTCATAGCAGCACTATTCACAATAGCCATGAGGTAGAAGTAACCCAGGTGACCATCAGTGAATGACTGTGGATAGACAAGAAGTAGTACATATATACCATGA